AATCAATTTGGGCGCATTAGATGGACCAATAAGACATTAAATTGAATCGGTGCAGATTTAATGTTCTCAAGTATTTATTGAATTGGATTGGACCTTGTCTATCCATAATGGATTTATATTGGATTAGGTCAGATTGAATCAATATCTAGTTTATTAAAGTCTATTGATAAAAGATAAGATTACAGTATCAATGAATTGGGCTTGGGTTGAAACCAATCTAAATTAAAATCAATTTAAACAGATTAGATGGGTCCAAACATTGAATTGGACTGATCCAAAAATGGTCTAGAGTATTTATCGGATTGGATTTGACCTGATCCATATGTAATGGACTCATCAGACCAAATCGAATTATCGTACCCTGCCCTTTTTAGGTAATAAATAAAAAAAAAGATTAAATAACAATAAAATACAGAATCTGGGTAATAAAGTATCACAAATAAATTGAAAATAAATGGTAAGATCCAGAAACCCAAGCACCCAGCCACTGTGGTGGGGTGGGGGTGGGGGGAATCCGCATCAGAGAAAAACAGAAAAACTTATTACCACGATTCTCAAAAGTCTATCTGATTATTTTTTTTTTCATTAATTAAAAAGTCGTTTAGATGAATCAAATGTTGGTGGTAAGTTGTGCTTTTAGAGGATATCTTATCATGCAGACAATTTGATATTAGATTGATAAATATAATTAATTACTTTTACTATAATTGACTTTTGAAGATTTGGCAGATTAATTTCCTTCTTGCACTGAATAATTATAATCTGAAAGTCGAGTAACTTTTTGCTTGTTCTTATAATGACARAAATTAAAACCTAAAACGTGTAGAAAGTTGTAGTTTGTTTATTTAAATGGAAATATTATGTACTTATTTTAGTGCAAATCTTCAATAAACTCATTCACCCAGGTTCGCATTTTAATATAGGGGTGAGCAAAAAAAAACCAAAAACTGACCTAAATCGAACCGAAAAATTGGTTAATTAAATCGGTTGGTTTGGTGTTTTAAAAAATTGAAGGTACCAGTTCGGTTTCGGTTAATCAATATAGAAAACCGACGGTTAACCGAACCAATTTATATACATGTATTTCTCTATATTATATATATTTTTTATATATTATAAATTAATATATATGCATTATATATATAAATATATACTTTTATAATATATAATATATTATTTATTATTTAAAATATAATATTTTTATATATATTTATAATTTTTTATTATATATATATATATATATATTTTTAATATTTTAAAAACTGAAAAACAACAAATTGAACCAATGGTTAACCAAACTGGTCAATCAATTAACCGATTGGCATCGATTTGATTTCGATTAACGATTTTCTAAAAACCTATAGTACCAATTCAGTTAAAAAAAAAAAAAGAGTTCGATTAACCAAACCATGAACACCCCTACTTTGATATCTCTGACCTCATTGCCTTAACAGTCAGGACAGTGGTACCCATGAGTTTCATATACATGCTGTTTTGGTTGCATTTCTTTCCTGGTTTTCCTTGATCTGAATTCGATTTGTTTATAATTGGATAATGATGGATTGAATTAATATGAATCCACCCCAATCTCATCAGATATAATCCAAATATGACAACACTTAATATGTATATGCATGCACTACGCGTGCATATACATACACACATGCCTAACTAAGATTAATATTTAATAAATTGTATTTTGTGTGTTTAATTATGAGTTCAACTCTCAAAGTCATTTCTAGTTTATCTTATTAATAATATATATAATATTTTGCTCTCACTTTTAGTTTATTTTATTAATGATGTACTTATAATATCCAAATCTGATGCAAGTCTGATTTCAATCCTACTGATCAGATTATATCTTGGTATATCCATTAAATCAGAACCATTTGCAGCCCTACAGTCAGTACCAACATACTCTTCAAGTTATTGGTTAAATTGTCTGATTTCTCAAGATATGAAGTATCCAAAAGGAGCCCATTATGGGCCCATCAGGGCACTACTAACTAAAGTGATTCTTCAGCAGAGGCAGAGAGGAAAGCCCACACTTCACCTTTTCTTTCTTTTTTTTTCTGAAAAAGGTCAGCAGAATGTGTTATACATGTATGACATTGTCTCCAAACGTAGTTTATTCTTGAAGTCCCATGCCGACCTATCTAAGTACCTAGTATAAAATATACTAGTCTTCTCTTATAATATATATATTGTGATCAGAAGATTGATGGCGATATGCATTCATACTGTACAAATAGTTAGTCTTTCTCGGTGTAGATGCACTATGCTTAATATAATCTATCCTACTACATAAGCTAACCCTTTAGGTTCTATGTGTGTGATTGCAGTAATTTAAAATTGTGGATATGTATATGTAGCTAGTAAGAGGAAGAAATGTTACGCGTTTGGTATTGAATTCTGGTTTATTCTCCTACAACACTTCATCCAGCTAACTATCCAACTTTTTGTGCAAATTGCCAAACACTATGCTTTGTTTAAGTGTTTACATTGGTGTATATACTTAGTCTTTGGTTGGTGAGATGGCCAAAAGATGTATTGAGTTTTTTTGGGTCAGATCAGGATTATTTGACAGATATTCTGATCTATCTATCGTGGTTTATCGGGTGGTCTATCTGTTATTTTGGGCTTTCGTTATCAAAGTAAAAAAAAAAAAGAAAAAAAAAACTACTGATCTTTTAAAAGCTCGAAAGACTGTACGAAAAGATTTGCCCGCCAGATAATATGTTTACTTTTACTGATTGCATCTAGACCTAACATACATTTTCTAACACGTACCAAAGCACCCTTAACTACTTCTCCCAATGGGCTAATGATGACTCATGTCGCATCCTGATTGGTCATTTTGAAAAACTATTAGTTACCCACCAAGACTTTTCTAACAATCCCCAACTGTGTAGAAAACTCTAATTGTGGGTTGCATAGTGTATAATACGTGCACGTTATGGATGCAAAATCTCCCTAGGCTACAGCAAGGTTACGTATCGGCCAATATGTATCGAGCTGATGATTTCTCCGTACGTTCTTACAGGGGTCGTATCGGATCAATCACTGGTTCAGAGGGTAGTCGGGCCTTAAATTTGTCTCTCTAAACCAATTTCGAAAAAAAAAATAAATGAAACATAAAAAAAAAGCACTAACACAGGCCGATACACCAAGTGTCAATATAGAAACTTGGCTACAAGAGTCCACGTTCTATGCACTAGACGTGTGAACCCACCAATAAAAATGCTACATATAGCATTTCAAATTGATCTTAAAGTTAATGGGATTTCATCCGTTAGCGACTCGAATCCAATCGAATCGGACCCAAAAGGAATAACTTCTTTCAAGGGATTTCATTCAAACTCCCTTTCATTTCCTCCTCTTCTTCGTGCCCTAATAATGTGAAATCCACCGGCCGACAAGAAATCCGGTGGTAAGAAAAAAAAAGGTACTCTCACTCTCACTTACGAACTTCCTCTTCTTCCAATCTTCTTCTTTCATCTTTCATGATAAGTTTCCACATCACAGTTTCTACAATAAATTTCAGAGTCAACTTGCGTTGGTTGTGATCATGGATCGGCTGAATTTTTGTTTGCTTCAGGTTGTGGTGGGTTAGATTTCAGTGGTTTTATAGGCTCTGAGGTATTTTCTAGTGGTGATCCTACAGGTTCTACAACTAGGGCTAAGTCATCTACTGATGGAATCATTGTTTCATCAGGCTTTACAGCCTAAGGTGGAGGATCTACTGGTAGGTGGGTCAGTCTCGGCTGGCTTCTTAGTTGCTATTTCAACCTTGATGGCATCCGTTGTTGTTGCCTCTGCAGATGTAGGTGCTTCAACCTTTGGTACTGGTTTCGGTCTTTCGGAAGTTCTACGAGCAGCTGGAACTCAGAGAAACATCTCATTTTCCTAATTCCCGTTTTTTGTGGTTGATTTTACAACTCTATTTAAATGTGTAAAACCAAAATGGACCTTCTACTTTGCCCTGTATATTTCCCTCATGTAGGGCAGAAATCACATCCTTTTGTGTCATGTCTTCTAGTTGGTTGTACTAAAGAAGAAGAAGAAGAAGGGCTCGGAGGAGAGGAAAAAATGGGAGGGAGTTCGAATGAAATCCCTTGAAAGAAATCATTTTATATTTTTTGTCTTTTTGTGAGTGATTCAACGAGACTTCTTCAACTCACAGCTGAACACTCGTTAAGTTATCAAAGTTTTAAAATGTTGACGTGTAACATTTTTATTGGTGGGTTCATGTGTCCAATGGATTCACAGAATGAGATCACATCTCCGCCTCATAAGGAACCGCCCACATCCCCGCTGTGTATTGGGAACATCTACCGATTATATGATAATGTCGTCATCGGGAGATGTTCCCAATACAGGGCGGAGATGTACTGTAGGGCGTTGTGGGGTGGCTCCATGTGAAGCGGAGATGTGAACTCTCACAGAACGCGGGCAATACGCACGAGCCTATATATAATCTACTCTCCACCATCACCCGATCCAACTACAATAACTGAATCAGCAAAACGCAGTTGCCAAATCATCACCCTTCCCTCCAAACAAAGCCTAACTTTTCTAAATTGAGCAAATTAAAAGGACTAGCAGTACCGGATAAACCATCAAACTAAGTAGGCTGACCTGACATGGAGACTACCCACTCAGGCAGAGTCACCTATCTCCCAGTTTTAGTTAAATAACGGTGCTTACGTGTCCTAGATCACGTTCACAACTGTTGATCTGCTGTGGTCTTCTGGGTAGCTCATAGTCAAAGAATTAAGGCGCCAAACGACTGTTTCATTAATTTCATTCCTTCAGCGGGAGTTAGGCAGGACCTTCATTCTATTATTTCTTTATTTTTATATCTTCCTCTCATGGACGACGACGTAGAGACAGCTCTGGCGTTCTTGTTATAAACCCCTAGTGGTGAAGGTCATGCTTTCTCCATTCTTTCGTTGTCTTTTCTTCCTGAGAGAGCGATTCTGATAATGATCATGACGATGGGTTTCTGTATATTTGAGAGATTTAATTCCCTCTGTCTGTTCATTCTCTTTCTTTCCGTCTCTTCACAAGTTAATGCTCGAAGTTTGAATGATAGAACTGCACTTCTCTCCTTCATGTCTGGTATTGATTCCGACCCCGGACAAGTGCTCGAGAATTGGAATTCTTCGGGTGTGCACTTGTGCAACTGGACGGGAGTTGAATGTAACAGTGCGAGAGATCGAGTTGTGAAATTTGATCTCAGAAGTCGATCACTGGGAGGGACTATTTCTCCAGCTCTCTCGAATTTATCATTCTTAACTGTGCTCGATTTGTCGGGCAACTTCTTCCATGGTTCGATACCAGCAGAGCTTGGAGCACTTTCCAGGCTTGAACAGCTCAGCTTGTCATTTAACGTTCTTCAAGGAAAGATTCCTTCTGCATTTGGTTCTCTCCGGCAGCTGGTTTATCTCAATTTGGGAAGTAATAAGCTTGTGGGTCAGATTCCAGACTCACTATTCTGCAATGGCACCACTACATTGGAGTATATAGATCTGGCTAACAATTCTCTGAGCGGCGAGATTCCTTTGTGGAATCAATGTAAGCTAACTGGGTTGAGATTTCTTCTGCTTTGGTCTAACAATCTGGTGGGTCAGATTCCTCCAGCCCTTGCAAATTCAACCAGGCTTCAATGGCTTGATTTAGAATCGAACTCTCTCAGTGGGGAGTTGCCAGCAGCAATTGTAGATAAAATGCCACGGTTGCAGTATCTCTATCTGTCCTACAACAACCTCATTAGCCACAACGGTAATACAAATCTCAGACCCTTCTTTGCTTCTCTTGTTAATAGTTCTAATTTCCAAGAACTTGAATTAGCGGGAAATAATCTTGGTGGAGAGTTGCCTTCTTTAATTGGTGATCTTTCTACTAGCCTTTCGCAGCTTCATCTTGGAGAGAATCTTATAGTTGGTTCAATTCCTGCAAGCATTTCCAATCTTGTCAATCTCACCCTCTTAAACTTGTCTAGCAATCTCTTGAACGGATCTATCCCACCCGAGCTATGCCGAGTTACAAGACTAGAGAGGCTTTATTTATCAAACAATTCGTTGTCTGGCGAAATTCCTTCAGCTTTTGGCAACATTTCCCACTTGGGTCTTCTCGATTTGTCGAGAAACAAGCTCTCAGGTTCAATTCCAGATAGTTTCTCTTATCTTTCTCAGTTAAGAAGACTCATACTCTATGAGAATAATCTCTCTGGAACAATACCTCCAAGTCTAGGAAAATGTATCAACCTAGAGATTTTAGATCTTTCGCACAATAGAATATCTGGGTTTATTCCAAATGAAGTTGCAGGACTGAGCAGCATGAAAATGTACTTGAACTTATCAAGCAATCTCTTGCATGGGCCGCTGCCATTAGAACTTAGTAAACTGGACATGATTCTGGCCATTGATCTGTCATCGAATAATTTCTCTGGCGTAATCCCTCCTCAACTAGGGAGCTGCATTGCACTGGAGTATCTCAACCTTTCAGGTAACAACCTTCAAGGCCCACTTCCAGTCTCCATTGCAAATTTGCCTTATCTTCAAGTGCTCGATGTATCTTCAAATCATTTGGTTGGAGAAATACCAGAACCTCTACAGACATCTTCCACTCTCAGAGAAATGAATGTATCTTTCAACAACTTCTCTGGGACCATTACAAAAGAGGGATCATTCGCAACACTAACAATGGACTCTTTCCAAGGAAACCCAGGCGTCTGTGGATCCATCTCTGGAATGAGAGCTTGCCAGAAGAAACGGAAACATCAAATTGTAATTTTGCCGATTGTTCTCTCACTGTTTGTTGTTACTCCTGCACTGTGCTTCTTGGGGTACCCACTAGTACACAAGTCAAGAAGACGATCATCGGCAGCAGTTTTTGCTGGTAGCAGGGACTCTGATAAAGAGGAAAAAGAAAGAAAACAAGAACTCAAGTACCCGAGGATCTCTTACCGACAACTAGTAGAAGCCACCAATGGATTCAATTCCTCGAGCCTAATTGGGTCAGGTAGTTTTGGGCATGTTTACAAAGGAGTCCTTCAGGACAACACACGAATTGCTGTGAAGGTGTTTGATCCCAGGATGGGCGTTGAGATCTCTACGAGCTTCAAAAGAGAATGTCAGGTACTAAAGAGGACCAGACACAGGAACCTGATTAGGATTATAACTACTTGTAGCAGGCCTGACTTTAAGGCTCTTCTTTTCCCGTTAATGCCAAATGGAAGCCTGGAGACCCATCTCTACCCAAGACACAGGTCAAGGCCTGATCTCAACTTGGTTCAGCTGGTGAGCGTATGCAGTGATGTAGCTGAAGGGGTGGCCTACTTGCACCACCATTCTCCGGTCAGGATTGTACACTGCGATCTAAAGCCGAGCAACATCCTTCTCGACGACGACATGACAGCTCTGGTAACTGACTTCGGGATAGCCAGATTGGTGAAAGATGACGACGGTGGTGGTGGTGATGGGGTGACGACTGTCACCATTGATTCTTCTTGCATGGACTCTACAGCCGGACTCTTATGCGGGTCGGTTGGTTATATTGCTCCCGGTAAGTGGTTTCCTTGCCATAATAATATAATGATCTTAATTCTTAAAGGGAGGGGAGGGGTATCATAACTAGACGATTAAAACTCCAGTTCAGTCAGATTTGTCGATTATTATAATCAGGTGGTCTTATTGGGTCAGATCCATGAACCCGATTAATTATAGATTGGTTCTGGGTGTTCTTTCATCAGTTAGGGACTTTATCTACCTGCCTGCCATAAACCCAGACCAAGTAATACCAATTATTGATGGTTAAGATGCACAAACCCACATCACCATCCTTATTAGGGTTGTCAATGGTGGATAGATCAAACAGAACTGAGCCGAACCGACCCAAATATATATAGGGTCTGGGACCTGCATTATGTATGGCAATTGTAATTGGGTAGGTTCTGGTTTTCACTTTTCATAGTTTGTCCTCGTTATATAATCGGGGTTGGGATCGGATTTGATTGTTCTAATGAGTCGATATATACATATATAGTTGTACATATAATTGTGATGTCTAATGTATCAATTTAACAAATAAGTAGGTTTCTTGACAAACTACAGATAGAATCGGGTCAGAACCGAGTCTATCTTCACCCAACCCGACCCATTGACATCACTAACCATTCTCAAAAGGGTATTGCATGTATCTCTTTCATTAATATAGTATAAAATATATCCCACCATATATATCTAGTTGTGTGCTGTACTTATCATCTCTGTTCAATGCAGAATACGGAATGGGTAAGGACGTTTCAACAAAGGGAGATGCCTATAGTTTTGGTGTTCTACTACTAGAGATCTTAACAGGCAAACGACCAACAGACGTGTTATTTGATGAAGGTTCAAACTTGCCGGAATGGGTTAAGAGCCATTACCCGGACAATCTGGAGCCCATAGTTGAGGAAGCTCTGGTAAGGTTTGAACCACCAGAGACGCCAAGGAATTGCAGCGATAGATGGTGGGGTATCATCTTAGAGTTGATCGAGCTTGGTCTAAGGTGCACGCAGAGCTCTCCTTCAACGAGACCTTCCATGTTGGACGTGGCCCTTGACATTGGTCGGTTGAAACACTATACCTAGCTAACCAACCCTTATTCCACCCCAACTGTTGAAGAAGCTTAACTAATGGCCTTGCTATAAGCTGATCATTCTTGACCTTAGAAAGAGAAGAAAGAAGATTGACTAAATTTGTTCGATTTTGTTGAGTTTGTGCTCATTCTATTCTTTTGTTTGATCGAAAACCTCAAGTTGGTCCACATTGTGCCTCGTGGATTTATAGATAACCAACAGAGATCATGCATTTCTATTCATGAATGGAGATATAGAATTTATTGATAATGTTTTCAAGATTCAAGAAGATTTTTTTTTTCTGCATGATTTTTAAGGTACTCGGGGGTAGCCCACCACTGCTGTACAACCTTTAATTTGGAGCCTATTTATATATACTAAATTAAAGTAAATTAATATTTGATGATTCCATGAGATAAACATGAAGTAGCTAGTGAGGTTAAATCAAAATGAAAAAAAATTTAGGCTCCCTTTATTTCTCACTTTTGTTTTAAATTAACTCTTAGGTGAAGTTTTCATAGACGTTGGAGGCGTTTGGGTTCGGGCTTTTGATTAGAAGAAAAAATGTCTAAGCGTGGCTACGAATTTCACGAGTGATGTCATTTATATTTTAATAATAAATTATAATATTTAATAATAATAATAATAATAACTATTACCGTGGTTTTTGAACCACCGTTGACCCGAATGGTCAGACCGTTTGGCTCGGGAATCATCCAGCCAACCGGTTCAATTTTACTCCAAATCCAGTCCCTGGCCAAAAGTTGTTGAATCGGTCAACGATCCATTGGCCCAGGTAGTCGAATCGTTGACCTGCTTGACCCGTTTTTAAAATTTTAATTATTTTTTATTTTTTACCTTATTTTGTTAGAACGGGCCTCCATTCGGACCAGACAGTCAAACCATTGACCCAGGTAGTAGAATCGTTGACCTGCTTGACCCGTTTTTAAAATTTTAATTTTTTATTTTTTACTTTATTTTGTTAGAACGGGCCTCCATTCAGACCGAACGGTCAAACCATTGACCCAAAAACCGATGGTCAAAATGGTTCCAATTCCGGGTCATTTTTTTAAAACATTGACTATTAGTATTATTTATTTAAATAAATAATAATACTTTTATTTAATATTCTTTTTATTATGTTTAGTATTATCAAAGGTCTATTTCCATGGATAAAATAGTAATTTTCATAGTTTTAAACCATGGAGGATTGCTCCAACTCAAACCATCTGATCTTTTTAGAGGCTCTAAAAATCAAAAAATAATTTCACTTCTTCATCAGTTTTACAACTGCAACGATAAAGAGCTTATGTTGCAACATTTATAGTTTAAGGTGCATTTTATGGTATACCAGTAATTAAATTTGAGGTAAAGTAATCACTACTAAAATCCTATTTGTTGGTTTAGGAACCAAAAAGGTCCTTAATGGAATTGCTAGGGGAGTGTTATGAAAAACCAACCAATTTATTTATTGTTGAAAAGGTCCTCAATGGAATTGCTACAAATAGGGAATAAAAGACAATTTGATCACTTAAAAAAAAGCAAAAGTGTCATTATTTTAGGTTGCATTTGGATGCGATGTAAATCAAGAACCGGCGTAAATTTTACATCGGTTTTGGTTTTGTATGTGTTTAGAAAGAGCATGTAATTATTATCAACGTAAAACTACACTTTGATTCAGTTTTGCATGCATTTGGATGGATTATGGTTTTACGTCGACAATAGATATAAAACCTCATCACCTCTGAAGTTTTTATATCGATGATCGATGTAAAAACTATATTGATTTTATGGATGTAAAACTTTACACTCTTCCACCTATTACTATTTTCAAAAAAGCAACGATCACTTTCTGGTTCAATATAAAACGCCATTAATATATTTTCACTGATTGCAACCAAACACAAGTCTTAAAAATAAGAAAACGTAGATATTATTCTCTAAAGCATTAGTTTTGAAATCAATATAATTATCACCTTTTCTTTTATATGCTTTATATAAAGAGGATGCTGAAACATTCAAAATAATATAATATGATTATTCTCAGTAATGGAAAGGCAATACCATATTCAAATTATGCTACATATATAATATATTTTATAAGTGGGGCTCTACCACTAAAGTCAAAAAGTGATTTTTCAAAAGACGTACAATACTATCCCTCATGTAATCATCATGTAATTGACAAACATGTCTCTTGTATTTTCAATTCAATATGGGTGTGCCCAATTATCTAAAACATGTATTTTCCAAGTTATTTCTTTATGATTGCTCACGGTGTCATTAATACCGTAGAAAAGAATATGGTGGACTATTATATTCGGTTTTTATTTTATTTTTCGAGTAAATTTTAAATACGTATCTGTACTTTGCTAATGAATGTCAATTGAGATTCTTAGTTTTCAATGGAAAGCGGTCCCATTGAACACCAATTCATTCATATGCATCAAACATCAAATTGTTGTTGCCCTGCCAGGCTGCCATTTGGCTATTACAACAAAAAAGGAAGAAAAGAAACATCAAAGATAAAATGAAAAATATTTCAAACACGTCATATCCCTCTTCTAATCTCAAGACAACCATTTAAGACAAAATGCAAAAACCAAGCTAGACTACATTTTATGGAATCTCGTTTGTCTCTACGTGCAACTTCATTAATCGCCTAGACTTCATAAATCATAACAAGGCCGTCCACCATTCCGCATCAGATCTCTTCAATGCTTCAATTTCCTTAATTAGGCAATGACTTTTGCTTCCAAAAATCACATTAGTTGTTGTACTTGGAAATTCCTGAGAAGAAGCCAAATATACGTCAAATGATCGAAAAAGAAAAAAGAAAAATATAAAAAGCTAACCTTGTATCATGGACACCCATAGAATCTCTTTATTGGATTTTCCTCAGTCCAAGCTACCAATTTAAGTCCTTTCCGCCCACAACGACAAAATACAAGTGTCCGGTGTCCCTTTGGAGTCGAAACTCGGAGATCGATGACTTAAAACCGAAGAGGAAAACCCTTCCATTTCTTCCACCGTTCTAGGATTTAGGGTTCTTCCACTGTCTGTAGTTGAGGACAAAATAAGATGACCGAAAGTGTATTTTTGCCCTTTCTTTTCATTTTGGGGTTTGGGGGATGGGGTGGTGACTTTTTTTTTTTTTTGGTGTGTGTGTGGGACCCACTTGTTAATGGGTGATTGGGTGGGATTTTCGAGTGGGACCCACCTCTTAATCAAATTCACTGACTCAGCATTCTATTATATTTTAATGATTGTGTAATGGAGTTATGACACATCGTTTATTATTATTATTATTATTATTATTATTTGGATAGTTAAGGTTTGTATTTCAACAACAGTATGAAATTTGCACAATTTATGAAATATTTACTGAATATCAAACTCACAATCCAATTGTCATATTTTTTTTTTTGGAATAAATTCTTGAAGTGAAAGTACAGAGCCTTCTGTCCGATAACATTCTCTTAGAGTGTGAATCTTCAAATTGAATTGCAGGTAAAGAGTCATTTCTTATTATAGATTGATGACTGCAAGTTCTTGAAGTGAATTGCAGGCTGTAACCAAACAGGCAGCCCGTTCTGACAAGAAAAATTAAAAATAAAAAAATAATAAAGAATGGCCAAAACCGTTGGACGGTTTGAACAATTCAACCATTCCGTATGATCCAGTTTTGAAAATCAAATGGATCAAAACATGATGTCATAATTAAATAAGAAATTTCAAAAATAAAGAATATACAAAAAAAATTAAATTTAGACAAATTTGTGATATTACATACTTATGATATTAAACATAAATAAGTGCGGTAAACAATAATTTAAATTTAAAGTTTATCAACAATGTAACTTTTTTGCCTAAGTGGTGGGTTAACAGTTTAACCATTCAACTTAAATGGATCAAGCCATGCAGTCGTAGTTAAATAATAAAATTAAAAAAGATAAAAACACAAAGGGTCTAACACATCTCAAATATTATACATATCCATCATATTTAAACAAATAAGTGTGACATGTAAAATTATTTTTGTTAATGATGGAAATAGAATTTTTAATGTTTTTTCTGAGTCAAAATAAAATCTATTAAGAGAAAAAAAAATGAATAATTTTTGTTAATGATGGAAATGGAAATCTGAAATGTGGACCCAAACTATAGGTCGGTATGACAGAGAAAGGGGAACTTAACACCAAAGCAAAGCAAAGGAAGATCATAGATGAAGAAATTGATAATGTCCTATAGGTTGACTTCATTAAGGAAGTCAAGTATCTAGATTAGCTAGCAAATGTTGTCATAATGGGAAGTGGCAAATTTACATAGACTACACGGAACTAAACAAAGCTTTCCCAAATGATATTTTCCCTCTACCTCAAATAGATCAAATTGTTGAGGCCACCTTGGAATACTCAACTTCATTGATGCATTTTCTAGTTATAATTAAATTCAAATGGACCCAATAGATCAGGAGAATACATTTTGTTATTACTGAAAGAGGTTTGTATTGTTATAAAAGTAATGCCTTTTAGCTTGAAAAATGATAGAGCAACTTATCAAAGATTAATGGTGAATTAAATCTTTAAAAAGAAAAYCGGTCATAATATAGAAGCCTATGTTGATGATATGTTTTTGACTTAACTAAACCTAAATCCGAGAAAGTATGCCTTTGGTGTCACCTCAAAGCAATTCTTAAGGTTCATGGTAATTCGATGTGGCATCAAACCAAATGCCTAAAAGATGTCAGCCATACTTGGCATGGAGCCACCAAAGTCTATAAAAGAAGTAAAGGCATTGATGAGGAAAATTATAACCCCGAGCAGATTCATATCTAAGTTAGTTGGGTGATGCTTGCCACTTTTCTGAGCTATCAATAAGACAAAAGAATTCCAATAGATTGATGAGTGTCATAAAGTTTTTGAGGAATTAAAAGACTACCTAAGTTCGCCACCATTGTTGACCAGCTAGAGTTAGGAGATGAGTTCTATCTCTACCTATCCACAAGTGAC